GAGGCTGCAACAGTCCAGTGTTTCATGCATGCAACTGAGAAGCTGACAACAAGTGCCAGCATGTCAGTGCCCTGAATCTAGAATCACATGTTGGTTCAAGTCTTCGAGCTTCTCGCTTCAAATGGCAACCCTTCGCGCGCAGCGCTTGCGCTGTTTGAAAGAGTAATCCATCCCGTAAGACCAGCAACTATCAAACACCATCAGAAAAGGGGTACCAAAAACGAGCATGTCTGCAACCGCCCTTCAGAGATCCCAAATTGGCTGCAAAGACACTGCTGCCAGCCGCTAGGCTTGACACCTGCTGAAACACAAACGAATAGGCCATGGGGCAATGCCTTGATTTTGTGCCATCAGACCTCAATGCCTGCCTTGTGGCTTTTCAAAGCAGTTGAGCTTCCCCGTTTTCATGTCATGCCATGGCAACCGTGCATGACACAACCGAGTGTTGCACGCCCAATCTTGCCAATGGACATAGCAAGTTAATGAAGAAGCTTGAAATTCTTTATGACATAGATGTGGTCTTCCTTGGGCCTTTCATCTCACTTGTCTTCCCACGTGTCCAAGGCCTTTCAAGCAGTGGAACCTCCCGGTGGTCAAGCAGGCTGTCGCTGCAGTGGCCACACGGCGTGGGGCACCAGGGCTGAGCCTCAAGAATCCCACTGATGAGGATCTAAACTACAGTAGATGGAGCAAATAATCAAACCCCTGAGTGCTGTCACCAGCCCATGACCATCTACGGTAGTTTGCAGTTGTTTGCAGTTGTTTCTTCAAGAGAGGCTTCCCTGCAAATGGTCTTGGGATGCCTCTTGTGAAACCTGCGTGGCAAGGGTTGGGTTTGCAGCCCCTGCAAGATTCACTTTGCAGTACCTACCACATTTCCTCACCTGCCCAACCTTTTGGCTTTCACCTGCAAACTGCATCAACTACAATCTCAAAGTAGATGTCGTTGATGGAGATCTGCACTGGATGATTTGGATCTCTCATGTCCGAAATGAAAGGAGTCTGGCATGGGTATATTCCCATCGTGTTTAGACACCCCTGAACAGACCTGAACGAACAGTTCTTTGCCAATCTCTCATTTTGGGTGCCCAAACTTCTCAGGCGTGCTGCTGGGTGGAGCTCCTCGAGCGAAAGTTCTTCGACCGAACAAATAACTTCGACCGAACAAATAACCATCGCTCAAACCTTCAGATATACAGTATATATGCCCATAGGTACCATGAGTGAACAACTCAATCACCCATCCCACTGCTCAAGGTGGAATTAGACACAAAATCTACTGTAGTTTCTCAAAGCTCTTTGCTTCGCGAATTCTAAGCCCTCAACGACTGGCTGGTTTTACCTCATCTTTGGTTGGTGTGGTCTGTGGCTCTCCTGACAACCGGGCACAAGGTCTCAATCCTCAAGCTATCCACTCTCAGCGCCAAGAGCATCACCACTGTGTTTCAATCCAAAGAAGGCAACTTGATAATCCATCAAGACGACTGATCCATCATGGAACATCATCATCCAAGACCCATCGCCATGTCCGCATGACATGAAGCTCTCCTCCGGTCAGCAAGGCAGGCGCAGTCTTTACAGCCTCGCCTCGTCGACCGTCGACACCGGCGGAGCGCTCCATGCGACGGATTGGGAGCGAAGTGAGTGCGACGTGAGATGCGTTGGGAGGGAGACGGACTCGAAACTTGACCTTGACATATCCCCGCGCGTGCATGGTGGTGTGGTTCTTCTCTCCCGCAGCACGCGCATGACTGTGTCTTCTCTTCGGTCCAGCCAGAAGTCTGCCTCCGCTTTCGGACGTCAAGGCTGACGCTCGGGAGACTCTGAGTCTTGGGCGCGGCACCTCCTTGGTCTCCTGGCGCCGGGGGGGGGCCGTTCTGGTTCCGATCCATTCCGTCCTGGTGCGTTCCGCACGTCACAAGGAGCAGGAACTAATCAATGCTAATCATGGGTCATCGAAGAAGATCCTCTTAGGTGCATCCTTTTCTGCCCCCTGGCACCATGACAAGCTGAAGGCTCGCTAGACTCTGAACGTCCATGAAACAGTACAAGGTGCATTCTAAACAATAGCCACGCTACCTTTTTGACGGTCAAAACCTGTGGATCCACTGGATGGAATCAAGAATTTTCAAGTCTTCAGCTCAAACGAACAAACTCGGAACAACCCACATCCTCGGGACCAGCGCCGACTTTGGGGCAAAAAATAAGCTATAGAAGTGGCCGAGTCCAAATCCCCCTGCGACGCCACGGACGCTTTGGGCGACGCATAACATGCGACCATTCTCAACTTTCCATGGCGAGAGGACCTGTGGCGATTGCGCTGGTGCATTTGGAGCTGGTGAATTGGCTGTATTCGCCTTGGCCTGGCACACTCACCCGAACGTTGCTTGTGCTGATCCACTATTCCCATCTGATGTTATCTTAGTTTGCCCTAAGGTAAGAACTGTGCGGATCTTAGAGATGAGTCTGTTCTTCTCGTCGGTTCAATCACTTCTCTATATGCAATCTCCACACCACAAGATACCACAAGTCGTGTGCTTCTCAATGACAAACAGTCCTATCTTCCCATCAAACTGGCCTCTGCAGACTTCTTTGGCCTCAGGATCAAACAATTAAACACATCTTGGTCTAAGTTGGACAAGCCTTAGAATTTTCAAGGAGCTAGTAGGTTGGAGGCCATCGTTATTAAGTTGGAGGCCATGGCTGGTAGGTTGGAGGCCATCGCTATTAGTTAAGTGTCATATGATTTTGCTAAGCAGCCCAAAGAAGCTGGAGATGTTCCCCACACCACCAGGAGAAGAGAGCTTCGCCTCACTTCACACCAAGCCGATGAGCAACTCCAACATGTTTCCTACCTGACCAACCCTTGTTTTCCTCACCACCTAAAGGTCCCCACATGGGCAGAAACGACAGTCTCCTCTATTCTTGAAGGGAATTCACTTTGGCAATAGCTCGAACATATTCGAAGAATCTGGTTACATCAAAAACATGATCACAATCTAATTATCGCCCCCCTCATCCTCATCCACTTGGCCTTTTTGGCCGGCGGTGCCATGCTGGGACGAGCTTTGCCGTCGCGGCAAACGACAATCCTTTTCTCCCCGCGGCCGCGCTGGCTGTAGCCGATGAGGCGACAGCGATATCCGCAATCCTAGATACAATCAAGCCTCATGTTCAAGTCTTCAAGAGTCTTGCAGCTGCATTCGGGAAACTGCATCCATGTGGACTATTGGCCTTTGTTGTGATGTATTACTGTATACTGTATAATGATGTATACATATGCATCTGTTCAGTCAGCACCTCTGCTTTTTCCTTGACGCTGAGCGCTGTGAATGCTCCATTGGTCTGCCGCCTCGAGACAATTCCACTTTAAATGCAAACAGAATGCTTTGTCAGCCACTTGTGACGCTGGGTGTTATCTGAGATCCGAACTGTGCACCTCTTTTCGTACCATGAGATATCACTTTCGATACATCAAGAGCCTCCAAAACAACAGAGATGACCAAACATGGCGGCAAAGATCGAAAATTGAAGCTCAGCTAGCTCGCAAATGCGCCTCTTATGCCCTTTTATGCCCCGTAGGAGAGGTCACTTCGACCTCCAAACGAACGAAAAGAAAAGGAGGCCCAGGCAGGGAGAACATGATGAAGACGCCAAGAACATCCATGACATCCATGGGACATCCATGGGCCAAGAACTTTTGTGAAGTTAAAGTCAAAGGGAGTCTCTAGTAACAAGAAGCTACTAGGGTGGAGGCCATCGCTATTAGGTTGGAGGCCATTACTACTAGTAACAAGAAGCTACGAACGTAACAAAGGGCATCGCTACTAGTCGCAAGAATGCCTCCATTGAGAAGGCCGACCGTCCGCTAGATTTGGACGCCTTTTCGATGAGCACCCTTTATTGTATGGTATGGTATGAAAAAGTATTCCCCTTTATTGATGGAAACACATGTGCTCAGAGCATCTTATAGCCTGTCTTGGACTTGATTCTGACTTGATTCTAGCCTGTCCTTGATCCTTTATTGGGGACTTTGATTCTGACTTGATCTTTAACCCCGGCCTGGGCCTGTCGCGCTCGACAAAGTTGGCAGTGTCGGTGCTGGCCTCGCTTTGTGAACCAGACAGGTTGAGTGAAACTGCTGTCCTTCTGGATATAATAGAGGGGGTCGATTTGGGACCATATATACCTCTTGTTTGTTCACGACCATATGCCGGTATTCCCCACTATCAATCAACCAATCAAGGATTAAAAACAAACATCGAACTTGAGAGGAACTTAGAACTTGACCAAGTCCTCAACTTGAGAGTTCAACCAGGTCCGAACTTGCTTTGAACTTCAGAGGAACATATGGACTTTGAAGAGGCACCCACCATCAAGCCCTCAAGCCCGAAGTGTCTGCCGACTCACTGCCGACCTGGCCGTGCCTCTTGCCAATCAACCCAAAAAACAGCGGAGTGCCGGTGTCAGTCGATGATGTCTTTCTGGAAAACATCGAGGGGTCGAGTTTGGCTAGACATACCATGATATATACCCATTGCTTCGTTCACTTCGGGGGATCCTCTATGAATCAACCAACCCAGGCCGTCACCGCCAGCCACTGCCGTGGTGTCGTTCCAACTTGGCCGTGCACAATCGAGAAATGAGGTCGTCCAGCTCTTCGGCTGTGTAGCAGCGGAACCTCGAACGGAGAAGAACAAGGGCTCCCAAAACAAAGCCAAGCAATGAAAAAGGCGTGATGATGTTTGCTTGTTTGCTATTAGGTTGGAGACCATTCCTATTGGGTTCGAGGAGATTCCTATTGGGTTGGAGGCCATGCCTATTAGGTTGGAGGCCATGCCGATTACCTACCTACGTACCTACCTACTACCTACCTACCTACTTGCCTACCTTCCAGCCTGCCTGTCTACCTACCTACGCACCTAACCCTACCCTACCCTTACCCTTGCCCTTGCCCTTACCCTTACTCTTACTGCCCTTGCCTACCCTACCCTACCTACCTATTCATGTTCTACTCCACCTTGCTCGAGTCGCTTGAACCAAAGCAGACCTGTCGTGATTGCAGGGAGCCTCTGTCTTTTGACCCCTATGTTTCTAGCAAAAAAAACAGAGGGCAAAGAAGCAAACTCATTGCATCTGCGAGTGACAAAACATCTTCTGCAACACGTTTCCCATTGAGAGTCTGAGAGTCCACACATTCCGGTAGTAGCTGGGACCACTCCAACCTCGATGTTGGACTTGCTCAACTTCTCTTCCATGACCTGCCAAAGAGTCAACTAGATTGCTAGACCTCTAATCCAGAGATCGTCTGCTTCTTGATCACTTTCCAGTTAATGTCTCTTCTCTCCTTTCGGCAAGGTTCCACTAAACCCACCGGGATCCGCTGGTTCTTGATTTGCCGTTTCAGAGACATGTCTTGTCGTGCCTGACGCAGCGTGGTGAGCGCTAAAATCTCAGCCTCCTTTAATGTCATGTCCTTGTTGTACTGTTCCTGGCAACGCAAAAGTGTCTTGCTGCCGGCAGAAAAACAAAAAAGAACATATTTGAGAAACCCGTGAGTGAAGGGCCTGCAGCATGCTTGTTGCACCCTCCTGAGCGCTGCCAATGGCGCAGGCTGCCTGAGTTAATGCACAAACTCTGATCCAAGCACGTCTGAATCATAAACTTCGCTCCGGCCAGAGTTGCAACGAAGTGTTCCTAGCTGCATTTCCCTCTGATCCGCGCAAACATGCTGATCCGCCATGCTCCTTTGCTGCCCAGTCGCATACTTGGTGAAAGTTCCTGAAGGATCCTCAGTCGTGGTGGTATTGCCTCTAGCATCCCCTTGACCATTTCACACATCATCACACGTCTAAGTCTAAGTAATGCAAGCATGGAAAAAGAAAATGGTCGTAGCCGTAACCAAAATAACGGCCTTTGGAAAGCGGTCGTGGCCGTCCCCACCCCCTGATCCACCACCACTTCGGTGGCGACGCAAAGCATGACCGCCACCCTCTGAGCTCGCTGAGCTCGTAACCGTGTTGAAGAGCACGGGACCATCCCAAGGATCCACGCCACCAACCAACAGGGCCACCTGAGCGAACATCACATCATGCAGCCGGACGGTCAAAGTCTGGAAGTCGGACTGTGAAGCTCCGGAGTCTTGGCAGGAGCTTAAGATTCAAAACTCCGTCCTAGACTGAAAGTGCCGATTCATGCCTTCACTACATGGTGTATCCAAGAATCCCTCTATGTTTGGATCGGTTTGTTCTACCTCCTCTCGTCTCGCTAGGTCCTCGACGCCGAAGGGCCGCGACATGGTCTTCTTCTTCTTGTCCGAGTCGCTGAAGTCCAAGGCCAGGTCTGCAATCGCCTTGGGAAAACCGAGCGCACACGAGCCAAGCCCCTCCACTCCGTAGCGGTCCAGGGGCCACCCCGGAGGTGCATCGCTACGACCGGGTGGAGGCCATCGCTCTTAGGTTCCTTTGCTATTAGGTTGGAGGCCATTGCTATTAGGATTTTCTGTGGTCCATCTGCGGCACTGAGGCGGGAGCATTGACGTTGCTTTCGATGGGCATGCGCTCGTTGTAGGTGAACCAATGTGCCTGCGAAGAACAAAACAGTCTCGTTGAATCTCAAAAGAAGCATCTTCTCTATTCTTCTCTTAGAGAGTAGTGTTTGTAGTAGAGTAGTGTTTGTAGTCATCATCCCTGCGCTGAATTCTCTGCTGTGCCAAACAATCACCGGGAAAAGTTCTATGTTGTAGAACGGCTGCCTGCGCTTCAACTCTGGCATGATCCACCAAAGTTCGTGCGTCAGCAGTGAGGCCACTCATGGCACAGCCTCGGTTCACGCTTGGCAACTCAAGACTAACGCAAGCTGGCCCTCTCTCCCTCTCTCCTCACCCGAACGAACCGGAGCGGAACCAGACAAATCCTCCGTTTCCCCTGCAACGCGGAAGGCAACTCAACTCAGTCTGAGCGGCCCATGTGACAGTCAATCTCTAAGAGCTTTTCAATGGAGCTGGGGTCGACCAATGGTGACGTCACCCTCAGCGACGTAGGCGTTTTTTGCTGGGCCGAGGCCAAGAGAAAAAGCGGTTCTTTGCTTGAAGGCGCAAAGCTAACAAAACAACAAGCCAACTCTGATACTAACTGGCAAGCAGTGTCAAAAGAAAAGAATGGAAGCCGCTGACTGGCCTCTTCTCCACTACGAGAATGACCTCATGCGGATCGGACGGTGAGACGGTTGAGAAAGCTCAAAAAGTGACATGCTTTTGAGATGTCATAGCACTTGGAAAACGAAATGCTTCATTTGGGAATACACCGTCTCCTTGGTCTCATAGCACCTCGCTTGTCTCACAACATCCAGGATTCGGACACCCTCCTTGGTGCAAATCCCGATGGCTGTTGAACCCAGCCTTGGATCCACAACGAATTGTTCAGCCGATCTCCAAAGCGGGATTGAAGAAATCTGAAGAAATCTCAGGCCAAAACTTGATGGCCTCGATGGCATATTCAACCTGAAAGCAAGTGTGACAGATTCTTTTAAACAGGAAGCATGGCGATGCAGTCTCCAATGAAAGGATTTCCAACACCATCCAGTATACATTCTGCAGCAGCTCTTTTGGGCTACTCTTACACTTGCCCCCTTTTTCAAAAATAAAAAATCAGAAAACACCCAAAATCACGTAGCCAGAACGGAGCTAAGACCTTGCTTTTTGGGAGGAGGATGACCGTGCGGCTATGCCGTCGCACCTGGAAGAGTCGGCCCTCTGGCGAGAAGGTGTTGACCTGATCCGCTGCAAGCGGTGGAGCCGAATGGGAACGGGAAGCCCTTGAGGGAAGAGGAAGGCACGAGTGGTGCCATGTTGATGATGTTTACTGCAGGATGCTACGAAGCCTGTCGTTTTGTGGTGAAGTTGATACTTACATATACTTACCAACGACTAAGGATTGTGATGCACGTGATGCTCTCTTGTAGTTTGCTGACCCATCGATTTTAAAACCTTGCACCGACATGGTGTTCGCGAATGCTCTCTTCATAAACTGTAGGTTGCCAACCTACTGTTGCAATATTCACCTTATTTCAGCTTTGCCACTCATGGTGCACGCGAGGTTCTCTTGATAAGGATTGCTGGCCTATAGATTCTAGGAGCTTTGCACCTCATGTTCGTGATGCTCTCTTTATAAACTGTAGGTTGCCAACCTACTGCTGTAATGTTCAGCTTGTTTCAGCTTTGCAACTCATGGTGCACGCGATAGACGTTGCTGGCCTAGGAGCTTTGCACCTCATGGTGTTCGTGATGCTATCTTCATAAACTGCAGGTTGCTGTAGTGTTCAGCTTATTGTAGCTTTGCCACTCACGGTGCATGCGATGTTCTCTTGATGGAGGTTACTGGCCGGATTCTAGAAGTTTTGCATCTCATTATGTTTGTGATGCCCTCTTCATAAATTGTAGGTTGCCAACCTACTGTTGCAATATTCAGTTTTTTTCGGCTTTGCCACTGATGGTGCATGCGATACTTTGCATTTCGTTGTGTTCGTGATGCTCAATTCATGAACTGTAGGTCACCAACCTACTGTTATATATTCAGCTTATTTCAGCTTTCCCACTCATGGTGCATCAATTTTCTCTTGAGAGGTTGCTCGGCTACGGATTTTAGAAGCTTTGCACCTCATGGCGTTCATGATGCTCTCTTCATAAACTGCAGGTTGCCAACCTACTGCTGTAGTATTCAGCTTATTTCAGCTTTGCACCTCATGGTGTTCGTGATGCTTTCTTCATAAACTGTAGGTTGCCAACCTACTGCTGTAATATTCACCTGATTCCACTCATGGTGTATGCGATGTTCTCTTGATAAAGGTTGCCGACCTACGGATCTTAAAAGCTTTATCACCTCATGGTGTTCGTGATGCTCTGTTCATAAACTGTAGGTTGCCAACCTACTGCTGCAATATTCACCTGATTTCAGCTTTGCCACTCATGGTGCATGCGATGTTCTCTTGATAAAGGTTGCCG